TTAGGTCTGCATGTCCTGCGGCACTTTTTGCCCCTCCTGCTGGAACCTCGTGCATAAGAAACATTTTCTAGATCTGCCAAGTTTGAAGTAAATCAGGTAACAAACTTGAAAACGGCATTTGACAGAACATTTGTCTTCTTGTCCGAACTGACAAATCGTCCTTCRGCTTTTAATTCGTCTCAGTGCCAAACAGATATTTTGGTATTTCCGGGTCATTCTCGCTTGTTTTCGTTCATGGCGAATGAAGACCCAGAAGGCTGGGGTGATTTGCAACGAAGGCCTCTATAGAAATATAACGTATCACCTGCCTGAGGAAGCTGCTGTGGCTGCCTCGTGGTTACATTAAAGGTTATTGTCATCACAGGAGGGATGACATTAGCTCCTCGCTCCAGCATCTGATTAAAATAGCGTTTTCTGCGCCGAGTTCTCCGGCTCGTCGCTCCTTTCAGCTGCTCTCTCCGGCTCGCTCTCCTTTGACGTCACCCAGCCTCGTACAAAATGTTTCCCCCGTGTTGACGTGTTTGCTCCTTGAGCAGGAATGCAATTCCACTTTGATCAAAATACCCCCGTCGCCTCCCTTTTTTTTTTTATCCCCGGCGAAAATGACATTTCACAAAATGTCATTGCGCCCGTGTTACACGGCTCCTCTCTTGCGAAAGGAGGCATAATTCGACTTGTTAAGTGAGGCTTTTCAGCAGTGCGGACCTGTCAGCGTCGCCTTGAAAGGTTATACAAGTGTGTCTCATGTTGTCGGCTCCTGTGGTTCCTTCTGCTGCACAAACCGGGGTTGGAAAAATGTGAACAGAGGACGACCGGCGCGGAACTCGTTCACCGAGCTGAGAAAGTCTTCAACCTGAACGAGCCTCACGCCTTYTTTCAGGTGAAACGGCGCTTTAACAGTTTGCAGAACGACTCCTGGTTGCCTCATAAAAGGCCGAGACTGTCGGCTTGCATCTGATCCTCTGCTGGATCAGTCGAGAACGTGCGTTTTCTCCGTTTGGACATTTTATTACGTTTCATTCAGAAATTTCACCACTGGAATCCAAGCCAAGCAGAAATACCACCTTGAGTTGTGCTGCATTTGCAGAAATGAGAGAGAGAGACCATGTTGTTGTTGTTTTCTCTCTTCCGATGAGATGCCAAGTGATTTATTTATGAATTACTTGTTCGGAACAGCCTCCTTGTGCAGTGCACACTTTTTTTCTCTATCCTCTTTGGAGTCATGTCGCTCAGTGATTGCTGATGCAACTCTTTGTCATCCAGAGTTTGCCCTCACCTCCTGTGAGCCTTRGGGGAGGGCTATATCTATCTTGGCTTGTCCCCGGGTGTGTTGGAGGTGGGAGTGACTCATTAAGCAGGTGTGAGCATCCACTCCCATACTGCTGCATGCCAAACAAGAGCTCTCTGGCTCAGAAGCGCACACACGTAGAAAATCATGATGGCAGAACAGCAACCACAAAAAAAAACCACACAAAAAAACTCACACACATCCCAATAAATCTCTGCACTGGACCTGGGCCAAGTCAGAGGGATAATGAGCTGCTCTTCCTCCATTATGCTCACTCTTGTTCTCATCAAGAGGTGGAATTTCCAAACGTTCATCGCCCATTGAAAGATTGGGCCTCCAGTGACATCTTTATTTGAATCCAGTTTATGAGGGGAATGAATTGTTCCCAGTTTGTTCCAGAGGAGGGGAGCATTAAGCAGCAGAGCCCGTTTCACTGTCTGAGCTGCGAGTTTATGAGAATTTACAGGGACGTAAAGCAGCTTTTAAAAAGCACAAAACAAAAAAAAAAAAGATAAAAAAAAAAAAAAAAAAAGATAAGAAAGGAAGCATCTCACACGTGGGTTTCACCGCAGCTGCGGTACAATGAATCAAACCCACTCTTTGTTTGAATTTTGTTGAGTTTTCTTAGATTCATGCCTGATTTAGATTTGAAAGATCAGCACCACTTCCTAATAAGGGTCCCTCTATGAAGAAATTTTAAAATAAATGAGTTTTTTATTAAGCATTATCAGTTGTTAAACCATATTCATTCAGGTAAAAGTGGTTTATGCATGCAGGTAACTTCAAAACTTGATATTTAAAATCTAAATTTTGAAGGAATTAATGCTTGCCAAATAATGACCCTGCTTCACTGTGWGAACAGTGTTTTATGAATGGTTTATAAAGTGTTTACTACCTCATGAATAACCTGAGTAATTCCTTTATAAAAGAGGCTCTTATTGTGAAATGGCACCAAAAGAATATATATAAGATGGATTTAAAGCTGTAAAAACATCCCCAGACATAAATAAATGGAGGCTGTTTTTTACTCACCCTCCTATTTGTGCTAGAAAGGCTTATTTTAGCCTCCTGGGTATCTAAATTTACACAAAGAGGCCAAATTTATAAACGACACGCAGCGGATCACGACTTTAATGGAGACGCGCTGTTACGCAAAACCTTTGGAAGGAAAAAAAAAAAGGTGCCTCCTGTCTGTAGGCTGAGGAAGAAACACGGAAGAGGAGAGGCTTCGCTTCTGTTTCACACACACACACGCATGCATATTATGGCGTGTACGTGTGCGTCTGTGTACGCAGGGCTGCGCTGTGTGCGGACAAACAAAAGCGGCGCGCCGCACGCTGGAAGCGCGTTTTGCGCCTCTCGGCTGTTTAGACAAGCAGAGCCAGCGGCGGGTCACATGCTGCAGCGTCACCGTGTAGTAAAGTTACCGGAGTTGCAAAGAGGGGTGCAACCCACATTTCAGCTCCAGAGGTCTCTCATCCCGCGTGGCTGCTGCTGCTGCTGCTGCTGCGACAACTTCAGCTCCAGACGATTTCTCCAAACGAGACGCGCGCAGCCATGGGAGTGCATTACCTCAGCCTTGCAATTTCCACCATCAATAATTTAATCTATTTGCTCCAAAGCTGAAGAGATATCCTGAAGCTTTTTTTTTCTTCTCTCCCTGGGTCGGAAGAGTGCAGAGAGGAAAATATCGCTTAAGTAAATCACTCAGGGAGTTGTCCAAAACATCCCCGATGACACCACTGTCCTGTTGAATGGTCTGTTTTACGACTGGGCAGTAAAAGGTAGGCTGTGAGTTTGTTTTGCTTTGGCACAAAGAAAGAAAAAATGTGTGAAGCACTTTGGAATCTGTTGGACGCTTCTTGAGGGAATATGGATAAATATAAACTCCATACAGCCGGTGTTTATTCATGTGTGTGTGCGTTTGGGGATGGAGGGGGGGTCCTAAAAGTAGCTCGATCAAGTCCAGTTATCCTGCGAAACAGACCTGAGAGGGGATATGTGTAACCTTATCCTCCTGTTCATTAATAAAAAAACGCTCTTATTATGTTGATTGGGTTTCCAGTGGAGAGCACAGGCATCAGGAGATGTAATCTGCTGAAGAAAGAAAGGAAAAACAGACTGTTGTTTCATGACTGAACCAGACTAAAACAGTTATTATTAATAGTTTTGTTTTCCCTCCTCCTCCTCTCTCGCAAAAGTGGCGCTGCGTAAACGTGTCCAAGTTTTAACAATCTGCCTAATAAAAACCAAGAAAGTCTTTTTTTTTCTCACAGACTCATTAGTGTTAAAAAAAGTGGTGGTGAAGGGGGGATTAAACAAACCAAAAAAACAAACAGAATAAACAGTGTTGCAAAGCCATCGTCGTTTCTGGAGAGGGAAAACAAAACTTTGATGGACTCATTAAGACTTTATGGGACACCCGAGACCCTAAACGCTCAGCTGCGGCCAACTTTAACCGTTGGCTTTAGTGTTGTTGTGTGCTCCGCGCTCTGTTACTTTACAACATTTAAACACGGATCAAAACCTATAAACATGGGCACATTTTTTTTTTTTTTTGACAGCTTTGCGAGGGGAAAATGAGCTGAAGCGAGCACTGTGGCGGTGGGCTGCACGGTTAGAGCTAATGAAGAGGTAACAGTGCAGCAAAAACACAAATGGAAGACATGAAAAAAAAAGTTTTTGGCACAGAAAAAAAAACGACCTATCTACTCATCTATCTACAATTTATCTGTGTGTTTTCATGGGGAAGGTAAAAAAGCAGAAGTTCAGATTATTTCACGGTCTCACGCGTCCTCTAGTGGTCAAACCGGCGAACTGCAGTYATGACACTTGAGGCCCTGCTGGTTTCGTTTCAGTTGTTGAGTTTTTTAATGTTTTTAATGTGAGTTATGGATTTCTCCGTAAAGCTTCCACCGGGAAGTCGTGTGCATTAACACATAAAGCGGATCGATGGTGTGGTCCGCTRCGTGTGTGTAGCCTTCAGATGTTGGTCCACAGAGGAAGCCGGGGAGGGGAAGGGACAACACAAAACACTCAGCTGGTTTTTGAATGCTGGGGAGTTATTTTTTTTTCTTTTCTTTTTTTTTAATCTGTTTGTTTTTGTGGCAGAAGCCGGGGTCGGCCTGGAGGCCGGGCACGATCCGTACGGCGGTGCTCATCGACCCCTAAACGTGCTCTCGAAGCCGGTTCGGATTGAAAACACATCTCAAGCTTCCACATGTGTCAGCCATTACTGCAGACAACTCAATTAAGTTCAAATGCCACCCCCCCCCCCCCACCTTCTTGTTTGTAAATGCTGCTTCGTGGCGAACGAGGGGTTCTTGGGTGATGATATTTGCTGTTTTCCTTTTCCCCAAAGTGAACATTTGGAAATGTTGGCTGAACGCGTTGAGCATGACAAAACACGCTGCTAGGTAAATAGTTCAAGCCACTAAGGTTCTTGAGGAATTAAAGAAAAGACAGATGCCCACGAGGGAGCAGTGGTGGAGGCAGAGAGAGAGAGAGAGAGAGAGAGAGTAAATGATGCACACATTTCTATTCAAACATCCAGGGCACACTTTGCTCTTTCATCTCCACTGTTTATGTTTATGTTCCTTTGTAATGGCTTTTTTTTTTAAAGATACCATGCATGCAGTTAGCAAAGATGAGGCCATAAAGTGTGCTTATGTGTTGTGGAGAGGCTGGAGGGGGGTGGGGGGGAGCATGGCTGAATATGTGCAATAATACCAGCCTTTCAATGCGTCAGAGCAACTTTTCAGCAACTGTCAAAAGGAGGCATTTATCACTTTAATCCCCACCTGGCCCAGAGAATAAACGGCGAGGGTAAGTTACACATCCCCGCCGCTCCTCCGTGCAGACGAACAGGTGGTCATCCAGAGACGTGAAAGCCACACAGAGTCCCAACACTCACCTGCTCCCATTGTTCGTGTGTTGTCATGGATAAAGGCGTGTTTGATTATTGCAGGGCTTTATTTCCCCTCCGCTCTGCGTTATCAGCTCGGCGCTCACGTTTAGGTGGCTGAAACTTCACTTTATTATGCCTGGATTTTAATCAGTCCAGTTTCAGGAACTTTGCTCATCCCACGTTTTTTAATTMTATTGTACAATCCACAGCAAATCGAGCGTTTGTCACATTTCGTCTCAGATACAAGGCACAGATTCTCCCACAGCAATTAAACGATTCATTGGTTTTTATCGTGTTTTAACAGGATGCTGATCGAGAGCATGAGCCGTATTGATTGTCCTGATGGAAACAGGAAATCACAGAGATAGAAATAAAATCATCTGTTGTTCCCGGCGTGAGGATGCCCGGGGGAACGGCAGGCTATTGCGCACTGTTGAGTGGCATTACCCCCAGCAACCACCTCCCCTCCATCCTCTCCCCTATGGAGACCTGGAAGAGACGTCATCCGTGGTTGTTATGCTGCGAAATGACGCCGGCGCCCTCCCTCCCCCCCACCCCCTCCTGCTACTGCAATATTACCCCTGTGGTCTGTTACGGAAGATGCAGCACTCCTCGTCTGCACCATTTCCAGCATGAAGTTTGACGCCTTAACAGTAATCAGCCCTCTGCCGTCATTTCCCTCGTGTGGAAGTGGAACCATTTGAGCAGCGATGCTGATAATAATATCAGCCTAAATGCATCCGACACATAAAGCTCGATCCCGTAAAAAAAAAAAAAACAACTACGTGGTCCTCTTTGCTGGGAAGCCCGGATGAAAATTCTGGTTATTTGACCCAAAACATCATTTGTTAACAGTCTTCAGTGATAATTTGATAAGCAGCTCTTTGTTTCTGGTGTTATGTGAGAGGAAAAATACCCCCATATCTTAACACACACACATATACACACACACAGCAGCCCCTCCCCATGCCCTCCCTTTAACACACACACACACACACACACACACTCTGGAATAACGCGTCACAGAGCTCGGGGAATGAGTGGCTCATTAAGAAGAAGGATGTGATATTCTGAATAGAGACTGTGAGACTCCCAGCACGTCTATTTTTAGCAGCCATATCTCTATGGCACTCGCAGCGGTGTCGGTTAATTGCAGCCCCAGCCCCAGATATTCCAATTAAGAATGAAACAAATGCTTTTAAGGTGGGGTTTCGCTCCTCCCTGCCGGAGAAGGTCCTCGCGTCCATCCTTGGAGGAGATGTGTTTTGCCTGTGTCAGGTGTGGGACATGCGGAGTGCAGTCAAAGCCTCAGCTGGGCTATTTTTAAATGAGCCTCTGTGGAAAGCGAGATCTAGATTTTTTTTTTCCTCTTCTCTTTATGGTTGCTTTTATGTCTCTGGCTGTTGGATGTTCACCAACTCATTGATTTGCTGTGAGTCTTTAGAGCTTCTTGGAGGTAAGGGATGCAAATCTGCTCAAGCAATGCAATGATTTTTCCTCCTTTTTTTTTTTTAAACCCTAAGCAGCACTTTACTGGTTTTGTGATGCCAAAGCCTCAGGTTGTGCAGGAAAGCATCTTTCCTCGTGACATCCTGTTCATTCATCCAGGCCACCTGCCGAGAAAACAAACAGTGTCCCTCAACAAACAGACCCCCTCCTCTAAGGTCCCCATTCATGGCCGCCAGGTTCTGTGCTGGACCGGTCCTGCAGCACGGACCAGTTTGTTGGTCAAATAAATAACACTGCAGCGCCACTGTTTGCCACAGCTGATGAAAATGGAATTCACCACTCAGTCAGTCTGCTGGTTTCTGAGGCGTAGATGCCGGGGATTTCTACTGAACGAGCTTGTTGATTGGTCCGTTTATGGCTGCAGACTCAACAAATTCACTATTTTAGCTGCCAAGGTTGCAAGATAACAGTTAAACGTCGTTACGGTATTGTTGATAGAAATACCCCTTGCAATAAATCCATATTTGCATTCTTGTTTTATGCTCTACCTCCTCTGCATGCTTTAGCATTTTAGCCACAAACTTCTACATCAGCTTTTAAAACAGTAGGGGTTCATCTGATTGTGGAAACTATAACTCAGATGTTGTGATTTTTTTTTGCACTCCTTTGCGCTGAAACTCCACACGTCGATGTTTTGATAATAAATCATGTCTGATGTGCTGAACCTGCGTTAAGCTCTGAGTACGATAAAGCGGAAACACTTTTAAAACTGGAGAAATTACATTTTCTAAAGAAAAATCAGCATGAACTTTTAAGAGCTGAATGACTTTGCTTAAACATGCTGAAGAAGGTGAGACGGAGCTGATAAAGCTAAAAGAAGCAGAACAATAGCTAAAAGGTAAAATTAGCAAAACGGGAGCCAAGAGCGGCAATAGATTAACTAAAAACTAAAAGAGGCTAGCTGAAAGCAGCAAAAGGCAAGCTAATAATAGCAGAAGTAGCTAACACATAAGAGTAGCTAAAGGCTAGCTAAAAGTAAAAAAACTGTTGTTAAAATTTGCAACTAAAATGTAAGTTTAGCAAAAAAAAAAAGCCTAGCTAAAAATGTTAGAATATAGTAAAAACTCAGTGTCAAGAGACTAGATGAAAGCAGCAAAAGGCAAGCTAATATAGCAGAAGTAGCTAACACTTAAGAGTAGCTAAAAGTAAAAAATAATGGTTAAAATTTGCAACTAAAACCTAAATTTATCAACCAAAAAAAGCTAAAAGTGGTAGAATATAGCTAAAGCTCAAAGTATCAAGAGCTAAAAGCACCAAAAGGCTAGCCAATAGTAGCAGAAGGGTAGCTAACATCTGAAAGTAGCTAAAGGCTAGCTAGAAGTAGAAAATGTAGCTAAAATGTGCAACTAAAAGCTAAATTATTTWAAAAAAACTAGCTAAAAGTAGCAGAATGTAGCTAAAAGCTAAAAGTATCAAGAGGCAAGCTGAAAGCAGCCAAAGGCTGACTAATAGTAGCAGAAGGGTAGCTAACACCTAAAAGCAGCTAAAGGCTAGCTAGAAGAAAAAGGGTTTCTAAAACCTGCAACTAACAGCTAAATTTAGCCAAAAACGCCACCTAAAAGTGGCTAAAAAACTAAAAGTAGCAAAAGCCTTGCTGCTTAAGCAGCTTAAAGCTTAACTTAGCTTAAGAAAACAAAAATAAAGCAAGTTTTCTGAAGCAAATAAAAACAACAATTTTGAAAGAATTGAAGAGCTCTAAATGTATTTCTACAGGTGAAATTTGAAAATAAAATGAAATGTATTGAAAAACTAAAAGTCACAGCACCAATGAGCAYAATATTTTAAAACACAGATCATTCAGACATTAAGAAGCAGAGGTTAAATAAGGTTTGGCCATTAAAAAAAGAAACAAACTTCACATACATGCCTACACACTGTGCAGCACACAGCAGTTCATGAATAACAGCGATGTTTCAGCATCCATTTGTGTAATCTTATCTTCAGCAATAAGCAGCCTCTCTGATGCTCAGCACGGCTTTTGGTGCTTCGCTGCCAACAAATAGAAATCAAAGCCAGACCTCACATAGATGAAAGTTTGCAAACAATTTGAAAACACTGAGGTGCCAGTATCAGTTTGATAAAAAAAAAAACACGCTGTGGTTTCTCAAACGCTCTCGTTTTTGGCGTGCAAACAAAGAGTGTTTGTGGGAGTAAAAAAAGCGGAGGCTTACATGATGCATTATGGATCAAGAACAGGCTAACTTTGTTAGAAATGCTCTTTGACTAACTGTCTTGCTCTCTCCCCTGTCCTTCTTCTTTCCCTGCTCTTCTCTCCGTTTGTTTCTCCTCTCCAGTTCCACCAGGTTAGAAGAGTGATGACCATCCTGTTCCTTACTATGGTTATTTCATACTTCAGTTGCATGAGAGCTGCGCCCCTGAGAGACGCCCCGGGCATGCGGGGCCACCGGACGGAGGGCTACCTGGGCGCTGCTGCGACGGCCGCCCGGGCGGGCCACGGGACTCCGCAGAGCGGCGGCGGGCCGGGCCAGCGCGGGGAGCTCCCCTCGCTCACAGACACGTTCGAGCAGGTGATCGAGGAGCTGCTGGAGGTGGAGGGCGAGGCGGCGGCGGCGGCGGCGCAGCTGGGACAGGGGGCCAAGAGCCAGGGAGGCGGGGGCCCGTCGCCCGCGGCCGCCGCCGAGGCCAAGGATGTCGACCTGTACAACTCGCGGGTGATGATCAGCAACCAAGTGCCTTTGGAGCCGCCGTTGCTCTTCCTCCTGGAGGAATACAAAAACTACCTGGACGCCGCCAACATGTCCATGAGGGTGCGGCGGCACTCCGACCCCTCGCGGCGCGGAGAGCTGAGCGTGTGTGACAGTATTAGCCAGTGGGTGACAGCTGTGGACAAAAAGACTGCAATAGACATGTCTGGGCAGACAGTTACCGTCATGGAGAAGGTCCCTGTCCCCAACGGCCAACTGAAGCAATACTTTTATGAGACCAAATGCAACCCCATGGGGTACACAAAGGACGGCTGCAGAGGAATAGACAAGCGGCATTATAACTCCCAATGCAGGACAACCCAGTCCTACGTGCGAGCGCTCACCATGGATAGCAAAAAGAAGATTGGCTGGCGGTTTATAAGGATAGACACTTCATGTGTATGCACATTGACCATTAAAAGAGGGAGATAGTGTATAAAATGTATAGATTTTATTGAAGAGTTTAAAAAAAGAGAATAAAGAGAAAATATCTATTTGTATATATACATAACAGGGTAAATTATTCCGTCAAATGAAAAATTTTATGGACTGCATGTAAAAAAAAGATGAAGTTTATACAGTAAAAGTGATATTACAGTCTATTTATTGAACATATTCATGACCTTGTAAACAATTAAAAAAATCTGATCAGTCATTTTGCGCCCAGTTTAAATTACTACGACACATAAATCGAGACATTGTGATTTGTTTACATTGCCAAGAATTAGAAAATGAAGGAAAAAAACAACAACAGGCAAGGAATGAGAGAGGACAGTTCCATCGTCAAAAGCTTGCATGCTGCTTCAATTGTGAATTGAGAAAATTCTCCACCTCCAAAAAAAAAAAAAGGATATGATGCTGACCAAAAAAGAAGAAAAAAAAACATTTCGTTTACATATTCAGCTGAAAACGGTTTCCTCTCAAGTAATTTATCTGTTTACTGTTCTAAACTTCTCAAGGTAATGTTGGAATTACATACTATGTCAAGGTGCTGTTGTCAAAGCTTTGCTGTTTATTTTTTTATCCACACCAGAGAATAAGATATATTTAAAGAGCATATATATAGTCATTGACATGTTTCTGGGTTAATATTATTCATTTTGTATGTTGTGAAGTTGTTTGCAATATTAAACTGAAATATTTGAAAAAAATAAAAATGATTATAGGCAACTGGAAAAACAAGATCAATGTCGATAAAGTTTCAACAGTGCATCAGACGAACAGCTGAGACAGAAAGCAGTGAAGCTGCCTTTGTTTTTGAAATTACGAACTCACAGTCAACAGCAACACATTTATAGCAGTGGTTGGTGGTTTTTCAGGTTGCGGGGAATTAATCATGGGGTAATTTGCTGGGAAAGTAAACACAACTGTGGGTGGGAATGATGCCACTCTTGGGGCTGTTCAGCTATTTGAGAAGACAAAAAGTTGGGCAAAAAAAAAAGGAGCTTCTAAACCACTACTTGTTTCTCAACCATTACATTAATGGAAGACAATTTTCTGCGGTTTGAAACATTTTTGATTTATTCCCAGGTATTTGGAGATTTACTCCACTCGCCCGAGTGATGTTTCACAATTACAAAAAAAAAAAGGGAAAGGAAAAGCAAACCTCAACATCAGGAGAAACTTGCCTGCAAGTGCAGACTAGTCGGGTTCACATCAGGCATGCCCGAGACCGACAGTGATGGATTCAGCCACCCATAGGTTTGTGTACATTAAAGATATACACCCAGCATTTTTTGTTATGAGTGCGTGGTAATCCCACTTTTAAATTCGCCTCAAAAGAACAATCATCGCAGATTTTCACGTGGCCGTACTTTCAAAATAATCAAAAGGAAGCGACGTTCTCCGCCTCTGGGAGGCTTCTGCATGCTTTACATCGGGATCCCCTCCAGCAGTGCGTTACATGGTGGGGAAACCAAGTTTGCCAAGTTAAGTTTAAGGATGTACAGCTATTTATCCATGAGAAAATGCTCATCTGTATAAAAAGCACACGAAAGTGTCAGCTGCACCTCATGTTTATGTCACATATGACCCCACATAGACTTCATTTAATTCTTCAACCTGAAGGTAAGTGACCACTGGAGTAGAAGCCGGTCAGAGATCTCCTGAATGAAGACGATCTAAAAAAAAAAACAAGTCACTCCATATAACTCACACAAAGATCCTCCAGAGACAATCTATGAAATGCTGACTTATCTTTGTTGTCAAAAACAACAAAAGAATAACTTAGAGTAAACAAAAAAAAAAGCCTCCATTTAAGCCCTTAGATTGATGACAAACATGAAATAGATTTTCCAAACACCCAGCCACAGGCTTCTGGTCGAGGCCACAAAGAAATGCAAGTCCTGCTATTGTGATGGAGGAAGAAAGGCTGCTCTTCAAAGGAATTCCACCTTAACATGGAGTTGAAGCTATTTCGTCAAACTCAAGCACCGACACATCCTCAGCATAAAGGACAATGAATCAAACACTCTGGGATCCTTGCACCAATTACCTTGTGTAGGAACCTCAGGCTAATTTTGCTGAACAGTTTGCAAGTGAACACTGCAATCTTCCAATTATAGACTTAATAGCAGCAATAGAAGCCAGCTTTTGCAATATTATTATCTTCTATCTTCTATTTGAGCCAGGGCTAGGGCTGAAAAACGACAAACTAGAAATTTGGCAGCAAAATCAAGGTGTTTAAAATCCACAAATAAATATTACTGATGCTGCACACTGTGGTGTAGTCCAATCAGCAATGTCTGAGCAGGTATTTTTCACCAGCCGTCGAAGGCAAATTGTTTTATCACCAGCCAGGGTGTGGTCAGAAATGAATCATCCTGCAAGATTTCAGACCACCGAGAGCAGCAGTTTTCTGCAGATTTATGCCACAGAAATAAGGTGTGCTGCACACAACCAGATGGGGGCAGTAAACAAAAGATAAATGATGGAGAACTCATTCAAACTATCTGTAAAGGTTGCTTGTGTCTACGTTTTCTTAATGCACAGATTTGAATGAGGTTGGAAACAGCTGACCTTTTTCTTATAGAATATAATGATGCTATTATAATTATATAATTATGAATTATGCTCTACACACATTTGAATACTCAGATATTTCTCTATTTTCTTTTTCTTTAAAAAWTGTTTACAATAATACAACTAAATACGATATCAAACAAACCCAGAATTAAAACAATTACAGACCTCCATTTATTTATTTATTTATTTTTATTTATTGTATTTTATTTTATTTATTTTACCTGAATAGTCAGCGACAAAATCCCATGCCTCCAGAGGTGTCAGCTTTACACGGTGTACCTGAACGCACCATGACACTGGCAGCTAGCCTAGCCGAGCTAACTTAGCTAATCTGATTTATCGTCTCGGTTAAGCGCACGAAACGTTCGCCAAGGTTACCTATTTTAGTATTATATTTATAAACCCCGGATCGCAATATCCATCTGAGATCAAGAGACCTTTAATTGCGAATATGGCGTCACTTGGGGAACCTGTGCGACTGGAAAGAGGTAATGTTAATTAGCTAGCTAGCTTTATTTGTTATGATACAGGGGAAACGTTGACACATAGCTTCGCTACCATTGCTTGAATAAAACCAGGGGGTTGTTTTTGATTACACACTTTGTTGTCTGGTGGATTAATCTCGCCTTAAATATATATATTCAATTTCGGGTTGTGTTTTATTTGGCTAAGCTAAACTATACGTACCTTACAACGTTGCCTCGTAAGGTTGCTGGCTAGCTAGTAGCTAACTAGCTAATATGATAACAACTGTGATTCACTAAATCAGTTGGTAAGGAAAATAAATCCGAGGCTTTATACTGATATTCTCTCCGTTATTATTAAATCTTCACATTGGTTAAAGCATTTTAAAGCTTAAGTCTCATTTCTGGTTAAATCGATGTTGTCTCTAGCAAACTAGCCTTAAATATTAAATAAAATATACAGAAGGAAAAAAACGTGAAACTATCAATCTGCTTATTTACTCCATATCCAACAACAAGCATGTGTATCAGYGTGCCTCATACAATAATAATAATAATAATYATGATGATGATGATGATGCAGTGCTATAATTGCAGTTAAAATGTGGTTGAAAGGAGAGAAACGTGATAGAAAATATATTTTCATGTTTTATAGATACAAGTCTGAAACCATTCTACTCCTAGACCTTAAGGGAAAAAAGGTTTTATTCTACTCTTAAAAGAAGAAATAGTCTCTGCTGCTCAAGTTGATGCTGAGGGTTCTTAAAATAGAACAGAAAGATTCTTTATTGATCTCCTGGGGGAAATGGTTTTGTCACAACACTCATAATATCAAACAAATAGAAGCCAATAAGTACAAATTAAAACAGAGAGAGTGCAATAATTTCATGGTACACATAATTAATTTATTTACAGTTGCTCCGCGCATTTTGAATGAATGTAGTCCTATTTGTGTAAATGAGAGGGAGGCAGGTAGAACAGTGAGGATACAAGTACTCGGGGTCAAATGTCCAGGAAAGGAGTGTGGTAAAGAGGTGAAGAAGAAGAAAGTTCAGACAGGATGGAGTGGACAGAGAAAGGTTTCAGGTGTGGTTTGTAAAAAAAAGGGGGTGGTATCAAAGGTAAATGGAAATGTTTAGAGTAGTGAGACCAGCTATGTTGCATGGTTTAGAGACAAGAGACATAGACAGGGATGGTTTGAACACATCCAGAGGAAGGACAGTGGGTATACTGGTAGAAGGATGTTGGAGATGCAGCTGCCTGAAGAAAGAAAAAGAGGAGACATGGAGATAGTGGAAGAACAGAGGATAGAGGAGGATGACGCACTGTGGCGAGGCGACACCTGAAGAGGGTACAGCCTAAATCTTTATCTAAAACCAATGCAGTGTGCATTAATTCAAATTCAGACTGGCACTATTAGAGGACTTCAATTAAAACAGAATGCTATAATTTGAACATTTGCAAAATCATTAAAGGTATTTTTTATAACAATAAACATCTGTTCAAATTTTTTCTGTTTTCCTCCTCTTAAGCTTACATGCAAAGGCTAATTGAACCTATTTGTTTCAGACCTGAACGTGAAGCTGTAACCTTGTTGTGCTCTTTGGCAGACATCAACCGTGCGATAGAACTGCTCGATAAGCTGCAGAGGACGGGGGAAGTTCCTCCTCAGAAGCTGCAGGCGCTGCAGAGGGTCTTACAGAGCGAATTCTGTAATGCTGTCAGAGAAGTAAGACTTAGTTTAAGAACTGAACGGGCCACYTTCTTTACTGTTTTGTTTTGAAGCTATGCTTTGTTTATTTTGCGTTTTTTTTATTCTTAAGGTTTATGAGCATGTGTATGAAACAGTGGATATCAACAGCAGTCCTGAGGTTAGAGCCAATGCCACAGCAAAGGTAGACCTTAAGTTAATTACTAATATGCAAACATTTACGTTTATTTTTCCTCTGACACTTCTTTTATTTTACATCTTTGTAACCAACTTTATGAAAACAGCTCACATTGAATGGATCTGCAAAGGCTAAATTATGTCATTTTCATWTTTATAGGCTACGGTGGCAGCTTTTGCAGCCAGTGAGGGACACTCGCACCCTCGTGTGGTGGAGCTTCCCAAAACAGAAGAAGGTCTGGGTTTCAACATAATGGGCGGGAAGGAGCAGAACTCACCTATTTACATCTCACGGATCATCCCGGGCGGCATCGCTGACCGGCACGGAGGCCTGAAYAGAGGCGACCAGCTTCTCTCTGTTAACGGAGTGGTACGTTCAGTTAAGAGAACCGTGATTTACTCGAGTGGTAATTTAGAAGCTTTTTATTTACAAAACATTTATTAAATACAAAAGGTGAGACCAGAACAAAAAAATAACACACAAAATAAAGCAAACGACAACACAATAAGAACAAACAGGAGCGCTAAGATAATTGATCTTTGAGTCCAAGTGTAAGCACAACTGATCAATATTGTCCATAAACGTCTATCTGACAAAGCATTCTGCAGAAAACCGAATAGAGAACTGAATAAAGAAATAAAGGCTGAAACTGCTTACTGAGCAAAAAATGAAATCTAATTTACAACCTTCAATTTGAAAGTAAGTAATGTTTTTTTTAGACACTCCATACTTTTCCAAGTAAAGCTGCATGTAAAGTAGCKTGAAAAGCCTAAAACTCCTCATAGTTGCCTGTAAGATTGTGGTAGTTTTCAAAAAAACAAAAACAAAAAAAACAAAAAAACAAGCGAAAGTAGCCATCATGATCTTCTTTAAGRGAGGTTCATATTTTTGTAACCTGAATCCAACAATTGCCTGTCCATTAGTGATTGTAAAGAGAAAGATAGTTAGGTGAGGGGGTGTGTATGCACACAAATGGTAAATGCATTTCCTCTTTAGAATAAAAAGGGATGTGTTGTGTGTCATGACTGATGGCCTTACTATTTTTCCATCACGAGGTTGAACATTAGCCATAATAAAAGGCTATTAGGTCTGCTTCTAGGTAAACAGTAATATTTTCACAAGAAGTAGCAAAGTCTAAGATTCTCCAACAAAAAACACAAAATTTACATAGATTTGTTATAATATATTGATTACATATACATGCCAGGACTCTGCAGTTTACACTCATCTACAGGCTAGGACTCTGCAGTTTACACTCATCTACAGGGCATGACTCTGCAGTTTTAATCATCTACAGGCCAGGACTCTGCAGTTTTCACTCATCTACATGGCATGACTCTGCAGTTTACACTCATCTACATGGCATGACTCTGCAGTTTACACTCATCTACATGGCATGACTCTGCAGTTTACACTCATCTACATGGCATGACTCTGCAGTTTACAATCATCTACATGGCATGACTCTGCAGTTTACACTCATCTACATGGCATGACTCT